CAGCAGGGCTGTAGTGGGTTTGTGGCTTATGTGATGGATACGAGGATTGATGCAGAGAGGCCGAGATCGGTCGATGAGGTTCCGATAGTGCGTGAGTTCTCGGATGTTTTCCCCGAGGAGTTGCTTGGGTGTGCCTCCCGAGAGGCAGGTAGAGTTCCTTATCGATTTGGTTCTGGGGGCAGCGCCTATCGCCAAGGCGCCCTATCGCCTTGCGCCACCAGAGATGCAGGAGTTATCCTCACAGCTGCAGGAGCTGCTGGGGAAGGGGTTTATTCGGCCGAGTAGCTCGACGTGGGGAGCGCCGATCCTTTTTGTCAAGAAAAAGGATGGTTCACACCGGATGTGCATTGATTACCGGGAGTTGAACAAGCTAACGGTCAAGAATCGTTACCCCTTACCGAGGATCGACGATTTGTTCAATCAGTTGCAGGGAGCGTCTTCGTTCTCCAAGATTGATCTGAGGTATGGATATCATCAGATGAGAGTGCGTGATGAGGATATCCAGAAGACATCGTTCAGGACTCGTTATGGGCATTACGAGTTCGTGGTGATGCCTTTCGGGCTCACCAATGCACCGGCGGCGTTCATGGATCTCATGAACAGGGTGTGCAGGCCGATGTTGGATCGTTCGGTGATCGTGTTCATTGATGATATATTGGTGTATTCGAGATCCAGAGAGCAGCATGAGGAGCATTTGAGGGAGATCCTCGGAGTTCTGAGATCGGAGAGGCTTTACGCCAAATTCTCCAAGTGCGATTTCTGGTTACGAGAGGTCCAGTACCTAGGACACCTCGTCAACCAGAATGGGATATTGGTCGATCCGGCCAAGATTGAGGCTGTGATGAGTTGGGAGGTGCCGAGATCCCCTTCAGAGATCAGGAGTTTTCTGGGGCTGGCCGGCTATTATCGGAGATTCATCAAGGATTTCTCCAAGATTGACGTGCCTCTCACCAAGTTGAACCGGAAGGGCGTTGCTTTTTCATGGGGTTCAGAGCAGCAGACCTCGTTCGAGATTCTTCGCCAGAGATTGTGTGAAGCCCCAGTGTTATCCCTTCCAGAGGGAATGGAGGATTTTGTGATGTACTGCGACGCATCGATATCAGGGTTAGGTGCGGTACTTATGCAGAAGGGGCATGTGATAGCGTATGCATCGAGGCTCATGAGACGAGGTGTCCCACCCACGATCTGGAGTTGGGGGCAGTGGTGTTCGCCCTCAAGATCTGGCGTCACTATCTGTATGGGGTTCGGTGTACCATATACACGGACCACAAGAGTTTGAAGTATTTGATGGATCAGCCCAACCTGAATATGCGCCAGAGGAGATGGTTGGATGTGGTAAAGGATTACGATTGTGAGATCCTGTACCACCCGGACAAAGCTAATGTTGTAGCTGACGCTCTAAGCCGTAGGGCAGAGAGTGCCCCGATTCGAGATATTTGTATGCGATTGACGGTGATGACTCCGGTGTTGGACACCATTCGGGAGGCCCAGGCAGAGGCCGTGATACTAGAGAACCGCAAGAGGGAGCGGGTGATCGGGCAGGTGTCTGAGTTCGTTACCGATGGCCGAGGGTTGATGACCTTTCAAGGTCGGATTTGGGTGCCGTATACAGGCGGAGCACGTACCATTCTGATGGAAGAGGCGCACAGATCGAGGTTCTCGATCCATCCCGGGGCCACTAAGATGTATTTGGACCTGAAGAGAGAGTATTGGTGGCCCTGTATGAAGAGGGATGTCGCGTGGTTTGTGGAGAGGTGCTTGACCTGTCGCAAGGTTAAGGCCGAGCACCAGCGTCCGCATGGCAAGTTACAGCCACTTGAGATTCCCCAGTGGAAGTGGGAACAGATTTCTATGGATTTTATCACCAAATTGCCGAGGACCGCGAGGGGCGTCGATGCAATTTGGGTGATCGTTGACCGGCTGACGAAGAGCGCTCACTTCCTTGCTATCAGTGAGAGCTCTTCTGCAGAGAGGCTGGCCGAGTTGTATGTGAGAGAGGTGGTATCGCGTCATGGAGTACCGATCTCGATTGTGTCAGATCGAGATGTACGTTTCACTTCCAGGTTCTGGAAGAAGTTCCATGAGGAGTTGGGTACGAGGCTGCATTTCAGTACCGCATACCACCCACAGACAGACGGGCAGAGTGAGCGGACGATTCAGACACTCGAGGATATGCTTCGAGCATGTGTGTTAGACTTCGGAGGAAGTTGGGACACGTACTTGCCGTTGGCTGAGTTTTCCTATAACAACAGCCACCATTCGAGTATCGGTATGCCTCCCTTCGAGTTGTTGTATGGGAGGAGATGTCGGACTCCCATTTGTTGGGGAGAGGTAGGGCAGCGAGTGATGGGTAGCACCGAGATAGTGCTTCAGACGACAGAGCAGATACAGCAGGTCAGACAGAGATTGTTGACAGCTCAGAGTCGCCAGAAGAGTTATGCGGATAGGACAATCCGAGCTCGAGTTCCAGGTGGGAGACTTCGTTCTCCTGAAGGTATCTCCTTGGAAAGGAGTGATCCGATTCAGGAAGAGGGGCAAGCTGGGACCCCGGTACATTGGTCCGTTCCGGGTGACCGCGAGGGTGGGCAGTGTAGCGTATCGTTTGGAGCTACCTGCGGAGTTGAGCCAGATACATGATACCTTCCACGTGTCTCAGTTGAGGAAGTGTATAGCCGACGAGTCGGCGGTGGTGCCGCTGGAGGATATTCAGGTGGATGCGAGCCTGAATTATGTTGAGAGACCGATCGCGATCCGGGATCGAAAGGTCAAGGTTCTGAGGAACAAGGAGGTGCCCCTGGTTCAGGTCCAGTGGCAACATCGGAGAGGGTCCGAGCTGACTTGGGAGCCGGAGTTGGAGATGCGGGAGCAGCATCCAGAGTTGTTTGCAGAGTAAGACTTCGAGGGCGAAGTCTGATTCTAGTGGGGGAGAATTGTAACATCCGGATTCCCAGGTATTTTATTTTAATCATTGATTTTGAGTTAAAGGGAGGGACTCGACGAGTTGACGCCTAGACTCGTCGAGTAGGGTCGCGATTCGCTGACTGGATTAATAAATGGACTCGACGAGTCGGCTAGGTGACTCGACGAGTCTGTGCTAGTGACAAAAACCCTAAATCTTTGGGCCTGTGCCCTTTTAAAGGTCCTTATGGCCTTCATTTGCGCCACTTACTCCCCTGAGAAACCCTAGAGAGCGAAGAGAGCTTAGAGAGCAAGGGAAAGGCTAATTCTTCATCCTTTTGGTGTAATCTTGCAAGAAGTAGTGGGAAAGTCCAAGCTAGATCGATTGTGGAGCTTAGATCTGTGTTGTTCAGACTAAGACTCGCTTCTAGAGGTACAAATCCTTTCCCATTTCATGTATTTGATATATTTCTTGAATCTAGGGTTCCTTGCATCTTTTGAGTTGGATCTTGAAGCATGTGATGTCCCAAAGTGGTGTAGATGTTAGATCTGGACCGTGAGAGGTCCAAAAAGTCCCAACCTTCCAGCTTTATGCTGTTTCATGAGAGTTTTGAGAGTAGGTTATCATTTTAAGGGATATTTCTCCATTCATGGCTTTGTATGTGTTGCATGAACGTAAAGTTTGAACCTTTACGTGACTTTTGAGTGCTAGAAGGTTAGATCTACTAGTTGGAGAAGCAGATCTGACCTCAGAAGGTCGTTTGAGTGTTGACATGGAGGGACTCGCCGAGTCCATAAGGGGACTCGACGAGTCGAGTCGGGTTACCCCGCGACTCATGACCAGTGGTAACTCGTCGAGTGGAAGGTTCGCTCGACGAGTCGAGTGAGGTTTAGAAAGACCCAGAGGACACGCTTGGACTCGCCGAGTCACCTATGTGCACTCGACGAGTCTGGTCAAAGTTGACCGTTGACTTTCGTTGACTTTTAGAGCCTAGTCAATGTTTGGACTATTGAGCCATTGGAGGGGTAAAATGGTCTTTTACCCTCTTGAGAGAACTTAGAGAGGGAATAATCTAGCCTTTGAGAGTCGTATTAATTAGAGTAATTATTTTATGTGATTAGGCGGAGGCTAGATCAGTATTTCCGAGTTCGAGATTTACCGAGTTACCCGAGGTGAGTCTTCTCACTATACTTTACCTTGAGTGGTAAGTAGAGTTATGTGACAGAGTATCTTGTATGCTATGTATGTGATGTGTTGCACTGCATTATTTCTATGTGATTTATGCTGTGTTTATTCCAGAGTTTACAGAGTTAGGACCGGAAGGTCCACAGAGTTAGGACCAGAGGGTCCATAGAGTTAGGGCCAGTGGGCCCACAGAGTTATAGCCTCGAGTGGCTAATATGTGTTATATGTGGTATTTTGGGGAACTCACTAAGCATTTATGTTTACAGTGTTTTGTGTTATGTGTTTCAGGTACCAGTGAGGATCGCGGGAAGGCGCCGGCATGATCAGTACACACTTGTGGAGTTTTTATGTATTGTGATCTTGGGGTGAATTTTATGGATTGATATGTGATACATGGAGATTGATAATATTTATGAATGAAATTTTATTTTTTTTAAAAGTGAAAAATTGTTTTGGAATTTACGATGTTACAGATTCTAAACTTAACTTTTTGTTCCTGCACTTGCTTTTTAAGATTAAAATTTACTTGTTTGTAACTTGTATGATGAAAATCTATAGATTTACCCACCTATCAATGTGGTTCCATCCCTGTCTCGATTGATGAAGGCAAGGTTAAAGTTTTTCTTCATATATGATGCTATGTTCTTAATTAAGAATTTAATTTATAGTATACAAGAGGATTCTATTAAATCAAGTTCATTCTTTCCAACGAGCTCCTGCCCTTAACCAGCTTAACCCCAATCTGCAAAATCCCGGTCAGCAATTCAGACAGCGTTCTGCTAGTGGGTCCCGTTCTTCCCCACCACCTAAAGAATCCGCAGAAATGGAATCTCTTACAGAATCTAATGATAATTCTAAAACAACATTGGTTGGAAATGGAAATGGAAAAGGAAAAGGCAGTCTTTAGACAACGGGTATGAGCTCATTTTCTTATCATGGTGATCAGAATTTCCCTGCTGCTCCAACGTTTTTGCAAGGTAAACCCAAGGGCTATTTGGTCATTAAAAAATGTTAAATTTTTATGGTGTCTAATATGTTATTAAATTTCCAGTTATGCAATTTGCGGGGCAGCATCCTGGTGGCCTTGGAGTTCCTGCTGTTGACATGGCATTCCCTGGCTATGTTACTCACCCCAATGGAATGGGGAATTCAGAAATGACATGGTACTTTAAATATATATAAATAAATAAATATTTAAGATAATAATAGTTTGGTGAATAAATGGATAAAATTGTGAAATTTTGTTGTAGGCTACCTGTTTTGGCTGGTGCTGCTGGGGCTTTAGGTGCTGCAGGAGCTTTAGGGGCAACATATTATTCACCTTATATCACAATGGATGGTGCTTATCATGCTAGGCCATCTGGCCAGACCTCTGCATTGACTCCTACAAGGTCTGTTACTTGTTATTATGATTTACGATTCTGAGGGTATTTAGGACATTTACTCAGAAAAAATATATTTCTTCTTCGGTTTCATTGCAGCAAAGACAGTAGTACAAATAAACCTGGTAGTGAAGTGAAGTCTTCTCAGAGACCTGGTAAGACATAGACCCTGTTTCTTTCTTTTTCCCATGAGGGAAAATTTGGAAGAAAAAAAGTCTTGGTGTTGCCAAATCTATTCATTAATGTTTTTGTCTTTTTTTCAAAACCCCAACTGGTGGTGCCGCCTTCAGCCGCTTGCTTGTTCTGGTGCCCATTGTTTCTTGTTCTAACAGATTTGGAGTTGTTTGTGGGATTCTCCTCAGGAAATGTCTGCCATGATTTTTGTTCAGGGGACCCTTTATCAAATAATCCCTTTTTAACCTCCCAAACTCTTCCATCTTTCACTTTCTGCTATTAAAATTAAACAAACAAATTAATACCATTCTTTTTGCCTACAAGAAACCAATTGAATTGAAGAGGAGTAACCTAATGTTTACGGTACAAACATGAAAAAGAAATTACATGAAAAAGAAACAACCCCATAAAGTTGTGTAGATTAAGTGCTTTACCCATTAACTCTATTAAGTAAAAAAGAAGCCATTTAGTGTCTCTTTATGCAAGCTTAACCTTAAAGCTTAACCTTATCTTAAAATTAAAGCTTCTTACTGCTCCTAAGTGAATTTACATGTATGCCCTTTATTTTCTTTTGCATTACATACAACAATGAAGTAACTGATGTCTGTTTCTTTCTACTCCTACATATGTTATGGGTTCAAGGTTATTAGCTAAAGTATGCCCTCAGTCTAATCATGTTAATTTATGACAAATACTTTTTCTTTTTGTTGTAAACTTCATGACATAATAGAGCCTCTACACATATTAGAGTCTACCTTTTATATTGTTCATAATTACATTTCATTTTGTTTCAGTGCATTAAGAGGTAGAGTGTATCTTCCTCAAGATGAGCTAGCCCAATATGGGCTATGTGATGACGATGTTTACTCAAGAAGAGTGACTGATAATTGGAGAGAATTCATGAAATGGCAGATTAACCGGGCTAGGTTTTACTTCAACCAAGCCGAAGAAGGAGCTTCCAAGCTTGACAAAGATAGCCGATGGCCGATATGTTCATATTTAAATTTCAAATCTTTATTACTCCATTATTTATCCCAAAAAGTAAATAAAAGTGTCTGTTTTTAATTTGGTCTTTGTGATTGCAGGTGTGGTCATCGTTGTTGTGTCGAACTATCTTGGATGCTATTGAGGAGAATGATTATGTTAACCATGTCTCTCATTTTCTTTTCCTGTCAAATTTCAAAGCACACTTCTTTTTGGATTTTGATTTTGTTATTATAAGTTTTGTTTTATGCTTTGATATAGTTACTCTTTTGGCCACTACATAATTTTAAGAAAAGTCTGTTTTCACATTCTGGTTAACCACAGTCAGGTAATAACTCATCTGAATTTGGATCAACTATTTTCCTCTCTTTTTGTTGTGACTTATAGTCTTCTTCTAATTACAATTTACAGGTACAATATGGTTGAACAAGGCTTAGTAAAAGAACAGGTATTCTCTTTTAGCCTAAACAGAAATGAAGCTGATTGTGAAAGACTTAATTGCCCTTCTCACCCTCATCATTTTGTTTTACATATTTCTTGTAGTTTAATGTGGGATTCTAGAACATCTGGTAAGCAGATTTGATATTCTTAACTCATTGTATCGTGTAAATTTGTTTGTTTGTTTTTATTATAATAATTTATATATGACTGATGTGGTTGGTTGATTTGTTATAAAAAAGCTTCTATTGATTTGTTATAAAAATATTATATGAAAGGATGGCTCATATTAAAGGGCATACTTAGTATATGTTTCATTTTGACTTAATGGACTTAATGACTCAATCAAAATCCTCTTACAGTCTAGAAAAGGAACAAGCTTTATCCAGATAGACATCATTATTTGCCTATGTGAAGGGGAAAAAAAGGAGCAAGGGCATACTTAGTTTTCAGTTTTGACCTTGTTTTTTTTAATAAATTTCAGGTGGTTTCATTGTTAATGAAAGCTATTGGATGGCAGGGAGGAAGTATATTATCCCTTGAGACACTAAAACGTGTGGTGGTTGCTGGAAATAGGGCATGGGATGCACTTGTTGCACAAGGTCTTAGGTCAGTAATCATGTTGTGTATCTAAAATCCAATCGTCGCCATCGATCCAAGTCGAACTTGATCTAGATGAAGGTCAACGAGGGTTGTTAGTTTTATAGGAATGTATAACCGATGTTAGCAATGTATTGTTTTTATTTAACATTTGAATGATTATTTGTATGACATTATAATTTGTGCAATTTATTTTATTTTTTGTGTATGAAATTTTATTTTATGTTATGAGATATTAAATGTGTGATGTAATTTGAAAATAAGTAAATTTACAAAATATATATATATATATATATATATATATATATATATATATATATATATATATATATATATATATATATATATTTTAAAACATTTAAACTTTATGACACGCAAAAATGTGTGTCGTCTTTCTTTATGACATGTCCTTTAATGATACGCAATGCAAGTCGTAAATGTGGATCGTTTTACGACACGCGAATGTGTGTCATCTTCTTTATGACAGGGCCTTCCTTGACACACATTGTGCGTCGTAAACGTGCGTCGTAAATGCGCGTCGTAAGGTTACGACACGCAAAAGCGTGTCGTCTCTCGTTATGACAGGGTCTTCCTTGATGCGCATTTGCGCGTCATCTGAGTGTTTTACGACACGCATTGTGCGTCGTAAAAGGTTGTTTTTATAGTAGTGTGTGTTATTTTGAAGTTGCATGCATGGCAAGGACTTGTGCGATTAAACTGCATGGCAAAGGAATATTTTTCCATATATAGCTAATTTTAAATTGTCATTGATTATGTCCTTATATACCACGTATGGTCCATATGCCCTTATTTTTGCACAAAAAAGACCCCTACACAGAACACAAAACACAATTCACTTTTAAATGGACCAAGTGAGGTCCTGATGGCCGACAATGTGGTACCCACACTTCAATTTTTAAAAGGAGCACATGCATATCATTAAACTTAGCAAGGTATATAACTAGTAGGATCTTTCATACCATTCATTGAATCTACAAAAATTCATTACAATTGTTCCCATCTACTGCCATCCTATACACATACTGATCAAACAAGCATTCAACCAAAAACCTGACTAGACATTACAACTAGGATCTAACCATGACCATGTACCCATACATCCATACACTTCCCAAAAAAGCAAACAACTTTCTACATCCACCCATACACTTTCCAAAAAACTGGTTGAAATTATATACCATTAACCATAAATACCTATTTGATCAGCTGCACTTTTCAAGGGCACTTCAACCACATGGCAGTGACTACAATGACCATAACAAAGATCCCACACTTTCAACAGACTGTTTTGCTTCATCAACTCCGTCAGCTTTGTCTCAAACATTTGCTTATCTGCTTCCATAGTTTGCTGCAGCTTAACCAACTTCTTTTGAACGTTCAAAACTTCACTGAAGTCTTCTTTCCTTTTCAGCTCAAACCTCATCTTGCGAAGCTGGTCTTTGTAGTAACCCTGCTCCATTTCTTTGTCTTTGCACAAAAAAACTTGCATTTTGGACCTTCAGCTGACTGATTAAAAAGGAATACCTAAATTAGGGTTAGGGTTACGATTAACAAAAATGTGTACATTTCCAGCTCAAAATAACAAATACGGTGTAAGTAAACAAAAGGAATACTCACCAAAGAGTTTTTGCAGTTCCAAAACCTTCGAGCTATATTATCGTCAGTCCAGGTAGTCCTTTCCACGCTTATTGCGTCTTTACAATCATAAGGTGGGCAGGGTTCATCATTACGAAGGTTTCCGACATGCAGGAGGTTGATCGATCGACCGGAGGAGGCAGACATTGCTCTGGTTATATCGATTGAATGTAGAGTATCGGGAGGGAGGCACTGACCTAATTTGGGGTAACAATGTATCGTCGATGGTTCGAATGAGGGTTCATTTAAGGAAGGTTTCCACTTTATAAGATGACATGGTCAAATGGTTGTCCACATAAGCCAATACACATCATCAATGACCCCTAAACCAGTAACATTTTCTCCCATTCCTTTAATTAGCCGGTATTTACTAACATTAAGGATCAATTGAGCACAAAAAAAACGTTAGTGACTAAATGTGCAAATTGACCAAACACTGATGTGCTACAGTGTCAAAAACTCTTTTGGGTCAAAATACCATGTTTTTGGCTCTCTTGTGATTTGATTTATACCATACACAAAAGTAATTTTTGTTCTTCTCATTCTTGTGCCTAAGACTCAAAGTGTCACCTCTTCAATTTATCATTTAAAATTTGGATTGTCATGTGTCACAATTTATGATACCCAAACATATGATGAATATACAAATTAATGGAAGTCAACTGACAGGATCCAGTTTTTGATTATCACACAAACACTTTTTCTCACCAATGTCTAAATTTTTTTTCGTAATTACACGGTTATTAGCTAATGGAATTTAAGGCTCTTGTGACAAAACAACAAAAATAAACCATAAAGCGAAGCTTAGAAGCAACTACAAACATGCGAACAACACAAAGATTCATGGAATGTATCACATAGGATCAAGAATGATGAAACAACATTGATAATGTCCTAATGTAAGCACGTCTGATAGCTGCATCAAAGTTGGTTAATACAAACTTATAACCATAACCAGCTGTCCAGCGTGGTTCCTTTATATTTGCTTGGAAAAAGAACTATTTTGTACACACACACGCACACAAAACAAATGATTTGCATTTTAATCCAAACAAATAAAGCACATGTGGTAATGCATGAATCAATAGATAAACAAATTAATAATGGATCAGAGTTTCAGAAACCTTTCCAGACAGAAAGAATTTCATTTACAACTTCAGCTATGAGTTCCCTATCAGCAGATTGTATAAATGCATTGAATTCGTCTATAATGTCAAAAATCTTACCAAACTTGACAAGATACTCAAGGCATCCGAGCTTGAGCATTGGCAAACGATATAGAGAAGCGCTCTGGAGCCTGTCAAGAACATTGTTGGCGTGAATATCTTGTAACAGGCTTTCTTGGCATGCATCTTTGAGATCTGAAACATCATACTTGTCAGCAGCTCTGAGAAGATGGAGTCTGTGAGTGAGAAAATCTTGGTACTGTATGTTAGCGTATATGTAGCTGAGAAAAGCTTGGCAAGCTTGAATGGACATGTCAGAGATGTTTATGGCAGACATCTCTTTCTCTTTCAAGTCGTGGGAGAACATGCTTCGAAAGACCGGTGAACGGGCTGCAAGAACCGCCCTGTGGGCCCCAATGCTTCCATCCGAAGCACGAATGATGATATCTGTGTGGATACTTTCTGATAACATTCGCCCAAGAGAAACAGAAGAAACTGCTCTTGTGTTCTGTTTCTGTGGGTGTGGGAACCCTTCACTCGCAACCCAAATCGAAAATACTTCCTCGCCTCCCTGTTTGTTTGTTTATTACATAAACAAATATAAAATGTTACTTATTCTACCAATTTAAATAGTTAGTTTTCACTTTTCATATGGTACAAACTTTGATTCGACTTCGAGTGAAGTAGTTTTACTGCACACGTCAACTAACCTAGCTATAAATTAATTCACACACACACACCCCACCGATTAACTAATAGTTGAATTTAGCTACCTACGGCTACAAGATCATTTTCAGAAACAGTAAATTGAATTAATATAGTGTAAAGGGTGTTAAAAAGCTGAAAAAGGAAAGATGAATGAAATTTTACGTCTGGAGATGCAGTCTTGAGATCAAGAAACTCAACATCAATGATGAATTTCCCGGTCAATGGAACCTCAAGCGCCCAGATAAAATCCTCACCACTATGCAGCGGCTTATCCCTAACTTCTACACACATAAAAAATTAAAAATAAAGATCATGATATTCATGTGGATACTAGAAAGGATTCCTTTACTTTAAATATTATTAATTATCAAATAAAGTGCGTAAATAGTAAAATTACCTGGATGAACCAAAGTCTTGCGGCCTCCCAAAAAGGATATTATACGAATGTCGAAGGAAGCAACCGGATGAGGAGGAGGACTGTCTCCAGCTAACTTTGGTATCTCTGGGAAGAGTTTAATCAACCATATTTTTCGATTCTTTTCCACAACTAAATGCCTTTCATTTTACAAAGTAACAATAAACAAGAATCATTAATCTCATCTTTTCAAATATTAAAACTGCATTTATGATTCCCTGGCTGCATTTTCTGCCTTCAGTCATGATAGGATATATTATGCATTTCGTCCAACAACAAACGGAATTGGTTGTGATACTTCTTGGAACGAATGCATTCTATAATTTTCAGTACTCTGTTTTGTTTGCTAATTAAAGATCGCTTATTCATAACAAAAGAACAAAAAATCAAAGAAGGCAGTATTATTTGGGTAAATAACGAAACTTACCAGTTCCAGTTGCCGATCTTGAAAGGATCGGATTTTCGGTAAGAAGAGCTGAAATCGTCGATACGCCATTGAGCGAGACGGGACGTGGTAACGACCCGGTAAGCAGAGTCCGTCATCCTACCGAAAGCAAGCGCCACCGCGATTTCATGGAAGCAATCGAAAATTCCATCCAACACCAACTCTCCGTGCTTTCCCAGGATTGCTTCTGATCTAAAACACACACACACACTTTCACCCACACCGCAGGCTGTGCTTGCTCCAAGAATTTAATAAATTTACAGGCTTCAGAGGATTATGGGTCGACTTCCTTGCGGGCTTCGAGCACGCAAAAGTCTTGATTAAACTTTTACGCCATTCATTCTTGCCTTAATAACCTTACCATGAAGATGATGGTAAATATTTCTTTGCACTTCAGGTTGTAGTCTTGCGTTTGGGTTTAATCTTCTTCCAATCTTCTCATTTTAAAGCATTCCAAAATTTTAACAGATTTTAGATTAAAAATATATATGTTTTGTGTTAAAGTATACAATATTTTTATTTTATGTTAAAAAATAGATAGCGATGTCTATTTAAAGTCAACACAAATGAATATGGCAAACTCTTTCGATGAAAGCTTTTCCATATGAGGAGGATAAAACATTTTAAAAATTCACACAAAATGGTTAATTGTCGAAGTAATGGGTGAGAACCCCAATCCGTCATTCAAATAAAATATAACATTAATATATATATATATATATATATATATATATATATATATATATATATATATATATATATATATATGGAATATACATTACAGCCCACCTAAACTTAGATAATAAACCTCTAAAATATGTCGTTTTAACTTAGTAAATATACCTGATTTGGTTTTCACTTGTTAAATATACTATCCTCAATAACATTTTTTTCCTCCATTATCGTTTACCATCTGTATTTTCTTTTCTTCATTATTGTTTATTACTTCACCCTAGTGAACATTACTTTTTTCATTGTCACAAAGGTTGAAGATAATCAATATTCTTGCTTCTTTATCAAACTATTGCGTCGATCTTGAATCTACATCTTCAAGTGTTAATCGTAAGTCCCCTAACCGCAATCTTTATATAGTAAAACAACGTATTTTAATGAGGTTTACTACCTAAGCTTAGGTGAGATTGTAAAATGTATATTTTTATTAAGTTGTAATATGAATTTTTGGATTCAGTTCTGCTGAATCAGTTATAACATGTATTTTCTGCTTATGAGATCAAATGTATATCATCAAGTATATATATTTTCCATATATATATATATATATATATATATATATATATATATATATATATATATATATATATATATATTAAAAAAGTGAGGGGTGAAAGGTGACATTCCTATTAGTTTTTTGGTGGTGAGAGAGACGAGGAGAAAATAATATGACTTTCAAAATATGATAAGATATGGTATAACATCCATCGGTATAAAAGAGTCTAACAAAATGGTGAGGATTATAAATCTTGAGCAGTCTAAAAGAGATGAACAAAGTTATAAAAGTGTGGGGGTGGGGATTATAAATCTTGAGCAGGGAGGTATAATTTTCCAATTCGAATAATAACACTTCCACATTAAAATAAATAAATAAATAAATAAAATTTATACGTTTTTTTTTTCTTTAAAAAAAGTCATCGTGATGCTGCCAGTATCCTACATAAATATTATTGGCTGACATACACCAACAAGAAAGCAAGCAAATAGACTGCCTATAGAAATTTGATTACAATTATCTTAAAAATGTTTTTTTTTTCTAATGAAGGTTCAGAAATATAATATGATTATTCATATGTTTCCAAAAACCACCAGTATCGAAAATGTATCTCCTTCACCCACGAGAGAATTCGGAATAACTCTTATGTTATGCAATTAAGCACATAAAAAGATTATGATTTTTTTATTATTATTATTAAAAACTATATTAATCGGACTAGATAGTTTTTTTGAGTTTAGATAAGAAATGATAATGTTGAAGCCACCATTTCCACTTATTTGGTGGTCTTGATCATCTCAATCAGACCATGTTAATACTAAATTAAAATCGTGAAATAGAGAAGTGTTGGGGCCTTGACTGAGAAGTGTTTGAATATTGAGGGGTGAAGAAAAATATAACTGCAAACTTGATTTAGCTCACTATTTTGTAATTCCTATTTTAAGTCGTTTAGTTTTCATTGGTACGTATTTAGTCCTTCAATTTATAAAAGCTTGACATTTTGATCACTCTCTTTGTTCTTACCAACACTAGTCAAATTTATAGAAAACAGACATTTTTTTAGTTTCTTTTTAAGAAAGGAGATGAATAAATACATGTTCTTTTAGTTTTGTGATGGATGAAAAAGAGAGGAACGGAAAAAAAATCATTGTTTTTCCCTTAAATGTTTTCTTCTAATTTTGAAAA